TTAGTTTTGATTCGAATGAATCTGTGTGGTGAGACAATAGCGATGGTCCTCGTTACACTCAAAACAGCAACCAGGAAAATGGACATTCTCACCGAAAATAATACTGTCATGAGATAGGTTGAACACAATGCGGGGATTCCACAGAGCATAGGCTTCCTGTTGTTCAGAAGAGATGTTAACACAGGGAGAGATGAGATACTGGTAATGATATCTACAACAGCTATTGTGATGTAAAGTTTATCTGGGAGGGTTTTCCTTTTGTTTGACCAGAAGAACCGCAAAGCTGAGATGTTTCCCGCGAGCGAAACAACAAGAATTATTATTAGAAGAACTCCAATTATTTTGTCGGCTGTGTCGGACTGCTGCAACACCATTTCTACTCCTGATATTTGAAGTTTTAGGTAATTTTGATAAAAAGAATAGTGGGTCAGACTTTTAAAAGACGACTCAAATTATTACCAACGCAAAGAGGCATTTGGAGTTATGGATAGATTTGGCTATTGAACATAGTTTGAATAGAAAGTTCGACAATTTTGTGATTGATCGAACAAAAGATTTAAATTATATTAGGAAAATGCCTCATTCCCTTAGTAAAAATCTTCTGATCGTTTCGGTTTGATTATAATTACTCCATGTTCATAGTTACTTCATGAACTCATGCACAACGACCTTGCAAACACAAAATACAACACCACCGTCTGAAATTCTTAAGCTACAGATAATCTAAATTCAATTCAAACAGCAATAAAACACAAATAGTTAGACACTAGGTTTTATTGTTTTAGGAAATTACTCACAACGTAGTGAATTACTGCGATAAAAGTTGCAAAATAAAGATATCTAGTTCATCATATTTGAGCTGAGTATACTGAACAGTATGACTATTGGCTATTGTACTGAGTCCAGACATCGGGAACCCTTTTAAAAAATCATAAGGGCAGGTGATTACTAGTCCATAAAATGTACCTTATTTCTTTATTTATGAGTAAATACAAGCAAGTAGTAGTAATTAGTAAATAGTCGCACATGTGGTATTAACATTACAGTTACATTCATGCTAGAATAACCGTTGTCATAGGATCCGAGCTATAGTCGGGTCCAGAATCTAAAGTCCCAAACCGTACCCGAATAGTCGTATCCTCTGAGCCAGATGTTTCAGAATCAGACAACTCTCGTCGATATGGACGATTAAATTTAAAATGTAGTACAAACTGATAACAAAGCAATCACAAAAAACGTAATGCTGCTATAATGATCTTTGCACATGCACTAGCAACACCTGCGCATTACTTTGCTGTGAATGTGAAAGTGTTTAATATTTTTATCTATTATCCAGTTTTCCATTAGTCTACTTCTTGTCTGACACTCTCACTCTTACAGACAATGACATACACACCACACAGGAAATAACGTCTGAATTATAATAGTGATAGAACATGAAAATGTAACCGTTGTGTGAACACATTAACAAAACTTCAGAGAGTGTAAGAAACTCAGCTATCTAGTGAACCTCACGAGGTCGTACGACGTACGTGGGGTCGCCTAAAGAGTTTTAAAAGGTTACCTGGGGAGTGGGGACCCCAGGCTTAATGTTCATTGATGATGCGGCGGAATTACAGGCTGTGTGCCACCCATTAACTTAGACGATGAAATGAAAATGAAATGAAATGAAATGAAATGAAATGAAATGAAATGAAATGAAATGAAATAAAGCATTTTTATCCCGCTTATATCAACAATCCAAATAAAAATAAAGATTGCCGATGTCAAAGCGGCTGGCCTATGAATATAACCCAAACTAAGATATTCAGTTAATGAGTATGATATAAAAAATCCAAAACTAAATTACTTATTGACATTAAAAGTTAGCATAGCAACGGTAAAAAAACAACTTAAGGATGTATATCATTAAACATTATTATAAATCGTTCACTCCACTATCTTGTCCTTACAACAAATTTTACCACTTCTGATATAATAATGTTTATTTTTGTCTTCTTTGGCGATCTGTTTCATCTCTAAGACCAACTGCTGATGGATAGTTCGTTCCTCAGGTGATCGGTCCGGAGAAATGAAAACAGTTTTATGACGTGAAATCAGTCTCAGTTCTTTGGCTTTCACTAATATCTGATGGACTGTACTCGAATTTTCAAAAGAAACTTTAACTGGTCTAATCTTTTCAGCTGACTTCTTCCCAACCCGGACAGCTTCGAAGTGTGGCTTTTCTTCAATCTGCTGAAATATCTCGCCAACTTCATGATTCAGATTCTCTTCACTAGTCTCCTCGAAACCAAATATTAACACATTCTTAGTTCGATCCTCTTCTGATATAACATTCTGTACAACCTTTTTCAAGCTCTCTTCTGTGAGTACAGGTGCGGCTTTCGAAACAGCTTGACTGAATGTGATTATCCCAGCTTGAACAGTGTCCTGGACGGTGGTCTTGACGGTGGAGTGCACGGATTCCAATTGCTTCGATTTGCTTTCCAGAAGTTCAGCCTGCAGCTTGATAACAGTACTTTGCGATCGGATAAGATCGCTCTTCAACTCCTCCATATCTTTTTTGATTTCCAGAAACGTATCTACATGATCACTGGTAGTCCGATACGCATTATACAAATGTTTGACTAAAACTGCCTTCACTGGCTTTTTGAACGTTTCAGCTGAAAACTCATTTTCATGGTCACAGTTCATAGCTTCCGAGAGTTCAGTGAAACAAGAGTTATAGACCTGATGGTTATCGGTAATGTAGGAAGAGTAATTTGACAATCTTTGAAGAATATCCATTTCATCATTAATCCTGGACCAGGCAAAAGTCCTGCTCACATTGGGACGTCCGCTCGGTTTCTCGATGTAATCCGACTTATATGGTCCTAAATAACACTAATTACTCGGATACACTTTTTCACCAGTGGGGCATTTCTCGGAATCACGCCCTTTTTGACCGCGCCCATTTCGCGACCCCCACTATAGATTATCTCAGCTTCTGATTGAGATACAGACCTCAGACATATACCAAAATGTGCCTAAGATGCATGTTTATATTAGTGCTATGAAGATACTTAAGGCCTAAGAGACTTAGTTTTTGAGAAATCGCCAAAAATCCGATTTTACTATAATATAACAGTCTTGCAAGTAACAATTATTACATTTATTTCAAGATATCTCAGCTTCTGATTGGAGCTAAGCGCTCATCTTGGGCATTAAAATGGTCAGAATCATCAAATTAAGTGGGGTAGAGCATGGTTTTAAAGTCTTCAGACTTCAGGTTGTTGAGTTATTAGGTCAGATCCCATTTTTATGCTCTCGCGAGTAGCGATTGATGCACTTATTTCAAGATATCTCAGCTTCTGATTGGAGCTAAGCGTTCATCTTGGGCATTGGAATGGTCAGAATCATCGCATTGAGTGGGGTAGAGCATAGTTTTAAAGTCTTGAGACTTAAGGTTGTTGAGTTATTAGGTCAGATCCCATTTTTATGCTCTCGCGAGTAGCGATTGTTGCACTTATTTCAACATATCTCAGCTTCTGATTGGAGCTAAGCGTTCATCTTGGGCATTGAAATGGTCAGAATCATCACATTGAGTGGGGTAAAGCGTTGTTTAAAAGTCTTCAGACTTCAGGTTGTTGAATTATTAGGTTAAAACATATTTTTACACTTTCGCGAGTAGCGATTGACACACTTATTACAAGATATCTCAGCTTCTGATTGAAGCTAACCGCTTATCATAGGCATTAGAATGGTCAGAATGATCAAATTAAGTGGGGTAATGAATGTTCCTAGGGCTAGAGGTTTTAGTGAAATTTTATTGATATTTCTTGGCAATCGCTACTTGCGAGAGCGTAAAAATGGTATCTGACCTAATAACTCAACAACCTGAAGTCTCAAGACTTTAAAACTATGCTCTACCCCACTCAATGTGATGATTCTGACCATTCCAATGCCCAAGATGAACGCTTAGCTCCAATCAGAAGCTGAGATATCTTGAAATAAGTGCATCAATCGCTACTCGCGAGAGCGTAAACATGGGATCTGACCTAATAACTCAACAACCTGAAGTCTAAAGACTTTAAAACTATGCTCTACCCCACTCAATGCGATGATTCTGACCATTCCAATGCCCAAGATGAACGCTTAGCTCCAATCAGAAGCTGAGATATCTTGAAATAAGTGCATCAATCGCTACTCGCGAGAGCGTAAAAATGGGATCTGACCTAATAAATCAACAACCTTAAGTCTCAAGACTTTAAAACTATGCTCTACCCCACTCAATGTGATGATTCTGACCATTTCAATGTCCAAGATGAACGCTTAGCTCCAATCAGAAGCTGAGATATCTTGAAATAAGTGCATCAATCGCTACTCGCGAGAGCATAAAAATGGGATCTGACCTAATAACTCAACAACCTGAAGTCTGAAGACTTTAAAACCATGCTCTACCCCACTTAATTTGATGATTCTGACCATTTTAATGCCCAAGATGAGCGCTTAGCTCCAATCAGAAGCTGAGATATCTTGAAATAAATGTAATAATTGTTACTTGCAAGACTGTTATATTATAGTAAAATCGGATTTTTGGCGATTTCTCAAAAAATAAGTCTCTTAGGCCTTAAGTATCTTCATAGCACTAATATAAACATGCATCTTAGGCACATTTTGGTATATGTCTGAGGTCTGTATCTCAATCAGAAGCCGAGATAATTTATAGTGGGGGTCGCGATATGGGTGCGGTCAAAAAGGGCGTGATTCCGAGAAATGCTCCACTGGTGAAAAAGTGTACCCGAGTAATTAGTGCTATTTAGGACCATATAAGTCGGATTACATCGAGAAACCGAGCGGACGTCCCAATGTGAGCACGACTTTTGCCTGGTCCAGGATTACATCATCCATCGTGTACTTGTACTTGTTACTTACTTACTTGGGTTACTTGGGTTGAGTTCCGAGCTAGAGTGCTACCAGGCCAAGAATGTCTTGCATCTCCACCGCCAAGTAGTAGCACGTCAGAGACATGTGCCACCGGCCCACTCCAGCATTGAGTTCCTGTTCTGTCCAGTGTACCCAGGTGTTGGTGGAGTGTCAGGGAATTCATTGAGGAAAGCATCAAGAGCAGGTTTGAAAGTGGTCAAGGTTAGGAGGGACTTGATGCTAGGAGGGACCACGTTGTACAGTGCAGAGGCTCTAGAGGCAAAGGAGTTGAACCTCAGGTTATTGACACTATTGTACTTGGAGGACCATAGTGGTCGTATACACGTAGTTCCGTATCGTGAGGTCTCGCGGAAGTTGATGTTCATACTGTTTGGAGCGAGATTGTTATAGATCTTCCAAACTAGGATGATAGTGTATCTCTCACGCCGCCTCTGAAGGGAGTACATAGACAGGCGACGGAGGCGTTCCCAGTAGTTGAGACTTCCAAGACCCTGGATTTTAGCAGTGAAGGATCGTTGAACTGCTTCGAGTTTGATAATTTCGCACTGCATGTGAGGAGACCACAGAGGACAGCAGTATTCCAGATGAGATCGTACGTAGGACTTGTACAGGAGCATCATGGTCGTTACATCCCTGGAGATGAAGGTGCGTAGCACCCAGCTAGCCATGTTTCTGGCTTTGGCAGACTTCATCGCTATGTGAGTGCGCCAGTTGAGGTCTGGGTCGATATAGACACCCAGGTCCTTCACGTGGTCAGAGCCCTTAAGAGTCTCTCCAGATGGTAGGATGTAGGGCTGCTTCAAGTCTGGTAGTTTGCCGTGTTGTAGAAGCTGGAACTTTTCCTCGTTAAGCTCCATGTTGTTAGCATCAGCCCAATTCACAAACCGAGAGAAGATCTTCTTGGAGAAGGATGCGATCGATATGGGAAGATATATCTTTGTGGAGCTTCGAGTCATCTGCAACACTTTGATCTTGCTGTGCTTGACAACGGAGAAGATGTCGTCAATGTATATGAGGAAGAGAAGGGGACCTAGACAGTACCCTGAGGAACCCCACTGATGACATCGATGATCGTGGACATGACCCCATCCACGATAACATGCTGCTTTCTGCCAGTAAGAAAGCTGGCTATCCAGTCGTAGAGCTTACCACGGATACCAAAGTGCAAAGGCCTGGATCTTCTTGAGAAGAATCTTTGTGGTCAACCTTATCAAAGGCTTTGCTGAAGTCGAGGTAGAGCACGTCAGCATTTTGTCGAGGTTGAGATCGCAGATTATATCCTCGATGTGATGGAGAAGCTGAGTGAGGCAGTTCTTGCCTTTTTGGAAACCATGCTGATCAGGGTTGAACATGTTGTTGCGTTCAAGGAAGTTGACCATCTGGTTGCGCATGATGCGTTCACAGAGTTTGATGAGGTGAGAGGTCAGGGAAACCGGCCTGTAGTTAGCGGGCTAAAGCCTTGCTCCCCTTCTTGAAGATAGGGATGATACTCTGGGAGCGGAACATCTCAGCGATGTCCGAAGTATCAAAGGATAGCTGCCAGAGCTTGGCTATGGTGGGAGCTAGAGCGTCCTTGTATAAAGTAAAAACACAGTACCCGCACAATGGCAGTTATAATGTAGCGATTAAAATAGAGATAAGAGAGCTAGATTATCAACATGTAACAAAAACTGCACAAAACAGAGATGCTAATGACTATGAACAAGCTTGCTTTATAAGTAAGATTAATATACCTTTGGCATTGTCATGATAATACCATTAGAGCATTAGCATCATCATGGACATCAATAATATAAATCATCATGAGTCAATAGTTATGCCATTAATATTATTATTACGATAAATCAACGATTTTGCTTGCCCCTTTGAAGCAAGAACCCTCTGTTTACGATTCTCAAGTAACAAAATTTAAAATTTAAAATATACATGACAAACATCTTGGTATCACTGATAGTGATATGGATTCGTGGTTTGCAGTAGGACCTGTTTCACGAAATATTACGTGATATCAATTATACTTACACAGCTACTTTTAATCGGCCTCCTTTAAATAGTTGTTAGCCGTCATTGTTATGGAGACATTTCAAAAATGTACAACATAGTTGGTTCGTGTGTCATTTTTTTTTCGGAAAGTGCGTGAAGTGCGTTCTCCGGAGGCACATTACACAATTAAAACAACAGATCATAAAATATTAGCAAGAAATTAAAAACAAAGGTCATGAAAAACAGTTACTTTTCATACTAGAAAGATATCTTTAAATACTATTGTGAGAACTGCAATCGAGTTGAGTGCAGTTCGGTTGAGTCTTGTAGAGATGGCTATGTGGCCATAATCTTTATTATCATTTGTTATTATTTATTATGATTATCTTGTCATGTAATTACTGGGCGGCGCTCAGCCTAGGTCATTCCGCCGAATCTCTATGACTATTGTTTATGAACATTATAGCCTGGGGCCCCCTGCAGGTAAGTTATGTAAATATATTCTAACAATAAGCTTCCCTATTTTTATAGTCTCCTTACTCCTTAGATCAGTTAATAAGAGATGGACTTTCATGGTGACAGTATTATTGTAAATGTACACTGTATAGTGTAAACCAAATATTACTACTAGTAAGTAGTAGTATGGTAGCCTAAGATTATTTTTAAAAAAGTGTGATTATTCAATATATTGAATATCTTCTAAAAAGTAAAAACGGTATTTATTCGTACGTATTTTTGACTTGTTTCGTGTGGTTAAGTGCGTGAGGTTTTAAAAGTGCGTTAAGTGCGTAGGAACATGGTGTACATTATTGAACATTGGGATAAGCTTTCCAGACAAATGTCAATACTGTTGTCTCATTATCAAAAGATCAACGGAGTACTGAGCCACAATGTTTTTGGCCTTTATCATTTACAATGCTTATTTCTTATGCCACTTTCTACCACCCATTGAATTACAATAATTAACAAATTATTCGTAAAGAAGAAACCTTGTCCGATCCAGAATGAGATTGTCCGTACAAGCCAGTCGTCCGTAAAGTACAAATATTCTCCAAAGCCTGCTGCTGTGAGTCCCTCCCCTCTCTAGTAGTACTACGCCTGCTGCTGTGAGTCTCTCCCCTCTGTATCTCTAGTAGTACTATGCATTCCGATCAAAGTACTGCTAACCCCAAGAGCAAGCAGGGAGATCCTCTGTTTAGTCACGTCCTTGTACCGCGGCATTCTAATCAGATAAAGACACGGGTTGAGTGCAGCATTTTAGGAACAAGGGGAAACAAAACATCATCAAATATCCGTACCACTTTGTTTCTCCAATGAATTCCCTTGCTTTTGCTGAGTATTTATAAGCCACCGAATATGAAAGTGAGTATATAATGATAGCAGGCGTGTTGCACACCAGAAATACGGCTGCAAATAAAGCAATTGTCACGGAAACTTGTCTTGATATTTTGGCTGTCGTAACAGCTTTGTTGGAGGCAATTGGGGAAACTTTCTTTTTCATCAGAGCTACTATTCCAATTATGAAACTCACAAAAACAGCTACCGACGGTGCAAAGATTTCAATTTCAGCTTTGGTAACGTACAAATTTCTGGCTCCAAGCGGGATAGTCTCCGTACTTTCCAGAGTGCAGCCAACTATGAATTGGTTGTACTCGGTTGTGAACCAGCTTTGGGCAAGGAATACCCCATCAATGATTATCATAAAAACTGCATAGCCACCGATTACCATCACCACTAACTTTGTCTTGATCTCTCTGACTTTGTGTGGAAAGACAATAGCGATAGTTCTCGTGATACTCAAAACAGCAACCAGGAACATTGACATTCTCACCGCATAATTAGCTGCCATAGTATAGGTGTAGCATAAAGCAGAGCTAGAAAAAAGCGATGGTTTCCTGTCGTTTAGAAGTGAAGATATCACAGGAACAGATGCGCTACTGGTGATGATATCTACAATAACTATCAGGATGTAGAGTTTATTTGGGAGGGATTTGCGTCTATTCGGCCAGAAGTAGAAGAATGCTGACACGTTGCCCACCAACGAAACACCTAGGATTATCGCAAGAGAATAACCGATTATCTTATCTGCTGTTTCAGACTGTTGTAATGCCATTTAAACTCTTGATATTTTAAGTTTTGGTAAATTTTTATTGACAGAATAATGTGTCAGACTTTTAAAAGACGATTCAAATATTCACCAACTCAAAGACTAAAGAGACACTTTGAACGATATATTTAAATCATATTAGAAGAATGTCTTGTTTTTGGTTTGATTAGGATAAACACTTATACTGCGCCATGTTGTACAATGCTGATAGTTGGATAATATCAGGTTGGAAGAGACAAGGACAAATGAACAAATCATGAGACTAATAATTATAAACAGCGAAGTACTCCATCATTTGATGTTGTACAATGATTATGGCTCATTCACAACGACAGTCCGTCTTAAAATCCGTCTGACTCTATAAAGTGTTAGATAGTCAAGTTTCAAACAACAATAGGACACAGGTGTTTTGCCTAGGTGGCTGTTGTTTCGAGGATTAACTAAAGTGAATTTAATAACTGCGATATAAATAGATCTAGTTCATCATATTTGAGCTAAGTATTATACTGAACAGTATTAGTATGACTACTATACATTTATACAATCAACTAACTAGTATAAACAAAGGCCCCGAGAAAAACTTCCAAAACCTAATCAAATGATCAGTAGAACTGGTTCAGAGGTCAGACATCTCGAAAAGTTTTAAAATTATGAGGGTAATTCATAAAAAGTGCCTAATGCTCTAATGCATGAGTAAATACGAGCTAATAAATAGTTGCACCTGTGGTATTTCATTCGTGCTAAAATACCCGTTGTCATAGGCTCAGAACTCTAGAGTCTCACGTTCTAGAGTCCCAAACCCGACTAGCAAGTCATATACTCAGAGCCACGTTTCGCAGAATCAACTCAAAGAAGCAACCGATGCTTGGTAATCTAACCCCTCCTAGATATAAAATAATCAGATGATAACTCGAGCAAAGTGTAGCAACAACAAAGCCTGAAGTTTGCAGGTAATTGGATTGATTGGTTCCAGTGATTGAGTGACTACCAGATGCAGCTAATAACCAAAGAAATACAAAGAAACGAATGTTTCTGTTGCCTTTGTTTTTGAAAATTGCTTTATTCAGTTCAACTACAAACCAATTGATATCTGGCAATTAAATTGACAGAAAAATCATCTTCTGTGACTCAACATTCAACAATACACAAATCAGTAAATAAATTTTTTTGGCGCGTGACTGTGTTTTTGGGGTTTGATTAGTAAATAGCGGCAGCTGATTGTAAACAAATTATTATTACAAGTTTGTCAATTATTGCTGCAATTGTGTTAAATTATACTGGGGTCCTGCTTATTCGATTTTGGGGATATTTACAAATTGTATTTTAAAATATACTGACAAAGTAACAATAATAATCGAAATAAACATCTCGCAATCGGAAACTTATGTCTCTATAGACAGTCTATATAATTTCCAACATATGGTCAGGGTAAAATTGTTTTCTTCTTTCGTGCAATCTGCTCGAGCCATCTACAATCTATAAAACTTGTCACGATAGTCAATCGTATAAAGGGGTATAATTATTATTAACCAATAACCAATAACCATCACCTGGTCTCATCAAATGACAAATACCAATATCAGTATCGTTATAGAATATAGAAGCTTGAAAGATTTGGGTTTGGTATTGAATTTTTGAAGAGCATAATATTTATCGAATAATATTGCCGAATTTAATTCGTTGATTTAAATATATTACACAAATTGGGGGCCTTATAACACCCTCAGCTCAGATTTGTTAGTGTTTAATGAAGGAAAGATCACAAGTTGTTTTATTTTTTAATAAACCTCTCCAAACCAAGGAAATCAGCAGGCAATATTATACTTTTCTGGCGTGTATGGACGTTTTTCTTCCAGGGAGGTAATGTTTGTAGAACACGACAAGAAAATTGAGAATAATCTTGTGCTAGGGTAGGGACCCAGATGTCGTTTCTAACCCAAATAAACTTTAAGGAGGCTTCTCATCAGTAGCCGCACCTCCTTACTCGGTTTCTGAACTGGAATTCTATGGGCTTCCAGACGGCCAGACCGAGTATAAAGTATTACCATCCCATCCTTCTAGAGTTCATCACAAGTAGCACCCACCTTGAAGATTTTTGACACCCAGACACACCCCATTGGCGAACAAACTTTGGATATAATTTAACATGCTCCCGAAGGAATCCCTGTTTATGGTCAGAACAAATAAAAGGTTATGATTTAATATACTAATTAGTAATTCGATATCACCACGTAGATTGTGGTCAATATTTGAGACCTTTTTCACACAGTTGGATATTTTACTGTTAATATTGTGGGCGCT